TTTTTTTCAAATTTTTTTTGCTCATAAAAGTTAAATTAAATTTAATTGTTGTTTAATACGATTTTGGTTGTCGGTAATGAAACTTTTGGCTTATAATAAAACTTTAATTAACTGAGCGCATTCATCTCAAAATCAATTTAAATTATTTTTAAAAATTAGCTTATAATAAAATATTAATCAACTGAGTGCATTTATCTCAAAATCAATTTAAATTAATTTTAAAAGTTAAATAAATGCCCACGATTAATCAAAAACGGCTACATACAAATAACTTTAAAACGGTGGCAAATTTATGCGATTTTCATTGTTTGTTGAAATGAAGTGCGTTTGATTGTTGTGACGTTGATTTCATTCATAAATGGACAGGAAATGCCAAGTTGTTGTTGCTGCATGGCTCATTGTCTATAATTATATTAGCGGGCTAGAGGCTGGCCATAGGAGTAAGGAATAACGGTGATTAACTGTAATGGCAATGAATCATAAATCGTAATGCCATTAAAGTCAACGAAAGCTGATGCAAAAAGATATGAAGGCACCCAGAGAGATCAGGAGAGCGAGAGAGAGAGAGACTGAATCACTTCAATGAGAGAACATTGAATAAACAAAGGCATTTTGAAACGAAAAACACTTGCACAATAGCCCAGGCGATTCGACCTGGCCAACATAATGTGGAGCGCCGAATAGCGGAGGAATGCCTTATCAGTGCGCGGTGGTTTTACCTGATAAGATAACGCACGCACTAGCTATGGAGCATAGGAGATAACGGTGTTCCAAGATTTCACAATCGAAAAAATAGAAAGACAAAAAACACTGACAGGTGTAGGCAGTCGACAGGTTTTGGCAACGCCCCGACTTCAGTCTTAACTGAGCGTGGCGCCCTAACGAACGTACTTATTTAGCTGTCTATAAGGTTGGTAGTGCTGTAAAGTGATATGGGAATAAAATATATATAAATATATGTGGCTGATAAGAAATTGCTGATGATATCATCAAGTGAAAAAATGGTTTCGAAATAAGAATTTGACAGTGAAAAAACTGAAAATTAAATTTAAAATTATTTTTCGTATAATAATTACATTAACTGGCTGTACTTTAGTTTGGCAGTGTTGTAAAATGCGCTAAGACTGACTGTCTGTTGATGATGTCATCAAGTGAAAAACCTATTTTGAAAGTGCAAGGCTAGATAAATCAATTATCCTTTCCGCCCATGTGTGTTATTTTTCAGTACGAAAAACGAAAATCGAATTACGAATCGAGCGAATCGAAAATATAAGCAAAAGGTGTTTGGCGCAGCAGTTGTGAAAATGCGCCTCAAACTGTTTGTGGTCTGTGCGCTGGCCTGTGGCTTCATGGCCTATGTGCTGGCCAATGAGAATATCTCAGCGGAAGTGGAAGATCAAATTATAAATGCGCCAGCAAGCGCGAACAAAGCCCCCAAAAAGGCGCAGCCAGTGGAATTTGTGGAAATTATCGAGCCACCGCCGCCGCCAGCACCAGCGCCAGCCGCAGCAGCAGCACCAGCAGCACCAGCAGCACCAGCAGCACCAGCAGCACCCGCAGCTCCCGCACCAGCCGTCAAAAAGGCAGTCGCTAAGCCTGCTGCCACGCCCAGTCCGGCGCCCGCAGCTAAAGCCAAAGCAGCCCCCAGCCCGGCACCCGCCGTCGCCGCCTCCAAACGCGGCACCGATGACATCCTCACCGTGGCGGGCCTCAAACCGCAGGCCAAATCCGGTGCACTAGTCATGCCCTTTGACTATCTGGGCGAGCTGTACGATTTGGATTCCACTGGCTACAATTGGGGTAAGTGTAACGGGCCAACAGCTACCAGCCGCTGCTGATTCAGTTCATTATTACTCATACGCCGCGTTGAGCGTAAAACTATCTTATCAGCGAGCAGCGAGCAGCGCGTTTGGCTTGCATGCCTAACCAATATTTGCTCGATGCTTGGTTGTCTCTCGGTAGGGCGGACGGACGAACGGTCGGACGGCATCAGTCTTTAGTAGCAGATAAGATAAAGCTAACAGTATAGGTATTTAAAGCTAACGATTGTTGTGCCATTGCTGGGCAAACAAAACAAGTGAAATCAGAGAAGAGAGGGAGAGAGAAGGAGGGAGAGATAAAGAGAGTGAGAGAATCAGAATTTGTGCAGGTTGATATAAACAGGTGTGGCTTATTATATACATTTTCAATGATTCAGTTTACAGCGGCTCTGATAAGTTGTAATCGACGCTGATAATATATATGAAAGAGAACTGCTTTTCCAATACGTTAGTCATATCTGGTTACACATTATGACTAAATTTTCTTATATAAATTTTACCTACGTCCTTAACCTATATAGAGCTAAAGCTATGAAGGTGACCTGTATAGTATGTACATATATTCGGATATTAAATATATATACAATAATTTAGCCAAATTTTTAATTAAAGAAAAAATGTATTCAAGTGCAGCATGACAAAATTTCTCATATATATAGTATATATTATACCAATATATGGGATATATAAAACCATAAAAAAATGTCATTATGACTTAAACTTTTTATAATACAGTCAAGTCCCGATTATTCGATTTTCGATTTACACAGAAGTTCAAATTATGGAGAATTATCGAGAATGATTTTTTCAAGGAGATGTTTTTTTTTTCGATTAATCGCGATTTTTATTTAGTGGGTTACAAATTATCGAGTCTCGACTGTATAAGAAAGGTAACTGATTGTTTACATATAATTATTTGATATAAATTTTTACATGGTAAAATGCCCTCAAAACCCGACAGTACTGTACTGCATATCATATATATCATATATTATATGCAGTGCTTCACACACCCCTAAGTGTGCTACGCCACTGATCCTAGTATCTACCATAATCAGATTAACAATTTTCTACAACTGAAATCTGTTTAAATATCTTTTATATTTATTCGAATCCTGATACAAAGTTCTATAAAATTCTTGTATCAAATTCATATACATTTTTAATGTTTTTTCTTATTCTTTATATTTTTTTTTTTAATTTTATTTTATTTATTTTGTTATGTTTTACATTTTAAAATTTCATAAATTTATATTTATATATATGTGTGTATATTCCTATGCATATGTTGAACACTTGGCTATGACTAAAGAGCTAGTTAATAGTTAATCCTTGGGAGCTTGCACTAGTTTGACCCGTCCATCCAACATGCCATAGACTCAGATGGGTGTGGGGGGATGTAGGGCGTGGCGTCATTGGCTTCATTCCTGTGCACTATGCACTCATCGAGATGCGCTGCTCGTACTCGGCAATGCGTAGCCGGACGGGCACTACGAGGCTCAGGTCCTCCATCATGGCATGTCGTTGCGGTCGCAGCGTTGCATTTGAATTCTGTCGGGCAATGGTGGCTCGGGATTTCTCCACTGAGGGCTTGCGGCGCAGCGAGCTCTTTCGTTGTATGCTGCTGCCTCCGTTGCTGGGCGGTTTGGCAGTGGGCGTGGCAAACAGCGAATGTTGCGCCGCTGTGTTGTTGGGCGTCGAGGGTGTGCTGCCCAGACGCTTGGGCTTTGGCGGCGGCACCACACCATTGCTGCCCATGGTGGCCACGCCCTGTGGGCGGCTCGATCGCAGCAGCGATATGAAGTGATTGCTGTTCTTGCTCGAGCAGTGGCCACTGGACGATTCGTAGGTGTTGGTTAGCCTGTTGAAGAAGTTGATTTTGTCGCTGACGCTGCGCGTGATCACCGCTGCGGGCTCATCGGGCTGCTCGCTGCTGGCGCAGAATGTGGCATTGCAATCCGCTGACAGCGGCTGTGGCTGCGGCTGCGACTGCGGCTGCGGTGGCGACGACAGCTTCTCATCGGAGGCATTGTTGCGCTTGGACATTTCCAGGACTTTTTCACGCAATTCCATGGACCAGCGCTTCTGCGGTCGATGCAGCTGCGGACGCAGCGATGGCGTTGGCGTTTTGCTGACATCGGGACTGCCGACTGCCAAAGACAGCGCGCTGGTGTAACGGGGCTTGGCGAGCGGCGCTGGCAATGGGGTGGATGTAATCGGCGGCGGCGTCTGCTGCAGCTGCTGCTCCTCCTCCTCGTCAATGTCCATTTCCAGCTCGCTGAAGCTGTTGGCCGCATTCAGCTGCGGCATCGCGGCAGGCAGCTTGTAATTGTAGAACTGAAAGTTAAATGTGCTGATGCTCATCTTGCGTCGAGTGTTGCGTGTTGAATGTGCTGCATGCGACCGTGTTGCAAGTTTATATAGCGCAATGTTTAGCTACCTGGCAGCTGCCACAGTGTGGGGCAGCGCAGCGCAGCTGGCCACAAGACTTCAGGTACTTAACTATAAAGTTGCCCAGATTAATTTTGGTCACTAAATTTGACTTGCCTGTAAATGCGAATTCCGGCAAATGTATCAGCAAAAAAAGAAAACCCGTGCGAGATTTCCCTCGAACCGCGGACAGCGCACGCGAATTTTGCGTATTTTCCCAGCGGCCATAAATCAAGCTCTAATCCCGCCGCCCACAACCACCTACCTGAGCGACGAGTGTTTTTTTTTTCAACAGCAGCTACAGCACTCATCATAGTGTTGCCCGAAAAGGATTAGTGCCGGCAGGATAACATTTTATGGCCTGTCAACTCGACACTGATTCATAAATAGATTAAAAACTGATCCATTCTGCGACAGCTGCGCGAAAAACAGTTCAAACAGCTGGAACAAACTTGAAAAGGGACGCGCACCTGGCCCAAGCTTAGGCAGCCGTCCTCGCTGACTATTAATTAGCCACAACTGCCATCAACAATTATCGGGCATTATACTACTTATATATGTATCATCATCATCATCATCATCATTGAAATGCACTTAATAATTGTCTGCCCCGCCGGAGCAGGGCACGCCAGAGCTTAATGGATGAATAAATCGTTGCCTCAGTGGGAATCGATGTATTAATTGGCCACTGAATGGTTAAGCCCTGCTCGGGGAATAACTCTCATTGAAGCGTATAGGAAATCTTGATAGCCTCAATTAATAAGGATTTGTCAAAGGTGAAATTCATTTGTTTATTGATTATTATAAAGGGAAGACGCAATTAATTAAAAAATATATAAATAAAATGTGCAATATATAGCAGAGCAAGACCCAGAATTCATTTAGTAATTATATTTTAATATGCATATTTAATATGGTTCCCAGTGCGGTGCTCGGTTTAATAAATACTATGTCAACTCATACAGTGCTTTATACGCTTTTATATAATAATAATAT